TCGCCATCAGCTGGCCGCGCATCACCGCCTTCGCCGAGTCCCACCGGAGGCGGGGGCTGGTGTCGGGTAAGTCTTGGGGTTCGGGGGGGACCCCCAAATTTGGGTCAATTCCTTAGGATTTTGAGGAACCTCCCAAAATTGGAGTGGAATCCCTTAGGTTTTGGGGGACTCCCCCCCGAATTTGGGTGAATTCCTTAGGTTTTGGGGACCCCCCCAAAGCTGGGTGGGTCCCTTAGGTTTTTGGGGAACCCCCCAAGTTTGGGTGAATCCCTTAGGTTTTTGGGGAACCCCCCAAATTTGGCTGAATTCCTTAGGTTTTTTGGGGAACCCCCCAAATTTTGGGTGAATTGGGGGGGGGTCTTGAAATTTGGATGAATTCCTTAGGATTTTGGGGACCCCCCCAAATCTGAGTGAATCCCTTAGGTTTTGGGAACCCCCCCAAGTTTGGGTGAATCCCTTAGGGTTTTTGGGGCCCCCCCAAATTTGCGTCAATCCCTTAGGTTTTTGGGGAACCCCCAAATTGGGGTGAATTCCTCAGGTTTTTGGGGGGTCTAATGGGTTTTTTTCCAGGTGTGGAAGCGGAGGGGGAACAGGGTCAACCGGAGCCCACCCAGATCCAACCCTCGGCGGGGGCCGGCTCCAGCGATGGGGGGGTGAACCCCGATTTACGCCGCCAGTTGGGCCTGATCCTGCAAACGGCCGGCAGGAGCCAGGTGGAGAAGATGCTGCGGGAGCTGGTGCGGGAGCAGGGGCAGGGGGGGAAGCGCCGGAACCGCAAGAAAACAGCCAAGGATGGAGGTAAATTTGGGGGAGACCCTGCCGAGAGCCCCCCCAGGACCCTCCTTGAGCCCCCATCTCATTTTGGGACCATCCCATGGGAAAGGGGGGGGGGAGAAGTTTTGGGGTTCGGTGCTTTGGGGGTTGGTTTTTCAGAGGATCATGGAATGATTTGGGTGGGAAGGGACCTTCGAAGGTCACCTACGCCATGGGCAGGGACAGCTTCACCTAGAGAAGGTTGCTCCGAGTCCCGTCCCCCTTGGCCTTGAACGCTTCCAGGGATGGGGCATCTCCAACCTCTTTGGGCGACCTCTTCCAGTGTCTCAGCACCCTCAGCGTGAGACGTTTCTTCCTCAGATCACGCCTAAATCTGCCCTTTTTTAGCTTAAAACCGACCCCCCTCGGCCCATCAGAGCCTCCGTCCCCACGCAGGGCCACCACGAGGTCTCCCCGGAGCCGTCTCTTCTCCAGCCTGGCCTCCCAGGGGAGGTGGCCCTCGCATCACCTCCGTGGCCTCCTCTGGACCCGCTCCACCGGGTCCACGGCCGCCTCGTCCCCCGGAGACGCCTGGCTCCCCGGGCTCG